TGGATTAACATAAATTAAAATTTTGACCTTTTTTTTTTCCCCCCTGTGTTCTCTGTGGGAAGGATAGGAAGGAACTGACTTTGTAGTGAGGAACTCTTGCCAACCAGAGGTGGAATAGACATCAGGCAAACTTCTAAACAGGATTTAAATTATTTTATTAATAACTGAGATAATTACTTGTCACATATAGTCCTAGCTGGTTCTGAGCGTCTCAGATATTCTTTTCTGCATATGGTTTTGCGCTTCTGCCAGGTGTATCTGAAGAAAAATCAAACATATATGCAGACACATAACAAATAATGGAATGTCTAATTAAATGTCTTACATATTTCAAAATCTTTTGATAAACAACAGCACTTGTTAAGATTAAAGGTGAAGATTTAAAAAACCCCTCAATAATATTTAACATGTTGAAAAGGTAACAGATGAAGGAGTTGTTTTTCGAAACAAGAACAACAGCTTTCAACATCTCTGAATGCTCACTGGGAACTAGGTGTTTCCATACAGTTAAATTCATTTCCCCTGGACTGAGTGCTGGCAAACAAGTGTGTTTTCTGCCTGACCTGCCTCATGGGTCAGTGCTACCCTCTCCTCCGGCTGCTGGCCCAGCAGCTGGCTGCCCCGGGCGGGAGGGATAGGATGTCCGCGGTGAGGCCGGGATGCTGTCCCCAGAGAGCCGGTTAACAAGGTCTCGTGTTTATCTTTCCCATCGCAGCGTGCTGAATGAAACGGATACCTGCTGGGGCGGTACAAGGGCTGCGCAGCCCCGCGCTGTTCAGCGTGCGAAGGCCGAGCAGACTTCACCCGCGCTCCCAGCGGAACCGTGAGGAGACCCGCGGGCGGGAGGCCCCGGGAGGCGGCGACCGACGGCGCCCGCTCCCACAGATGTGTCCCGCGCGGCTCACATACGTGAAGGGGTTCGCGCATCCAGCTCACGCCCTTTCCTAGGCCAAAGCAAGAGGGTTTCTTCCTAAATCTTTGGCCGAGGAGACAGCGCCCCGCCCCGAGGGGGGAGCGGCCGCAGGGCGCGCTGGGCCTTGTAGTGCCGCGGGCGCGGCGGCGCGCACGACGCGCCCGAGAACACGCTGGCGGCCATCCGACAGGTCAGCACGGCGGGGCCAAGCCGTGGCCGTGCCCGCCGCCCCTCCTTCCCGGCTCGTCACGGAGAGCCGCCGTGCCCCGGGGGGCGCTGGGAGCGAGTTTAACGTGCCCGGCCGGTACGGGACGTGGTCAGAAGTGTGAGGCCGAGCTGCCACATGCTCCGCAGAGAGCCTCGGGAGCCTGTCTCCCCATAGGTCTGGGGGGTGAGAGCCTGAATCGGTGGGCAGTAATGCGAGCCTGTGGGTTATGTTTGATAATCTGCCTTTCGGCAGGCACCAAGCCCTCGCCGCCTCCCTAACTCCTTCCGACTTAACGCACAAAGCTGTGTGGCTTCTCAGGCCCCCGTCCTCATGCGGATTCAGAACAGTTTGGTCAGGCCTGAGTCTGGCGGAAAGTGTTATATCCTTGGTGTTGAGGGATATTTTAGCATTGTAGCAATAATGAAATACTGTGTTTTGCTGATGTTGCAACAAAATACAGAGAATAGACAGCAACGTAGTAACAGGTCGTTTGCTTTTTAAGCCTTGAAGATCGGTAGTGAGAATCCAGTTATGGGAAAATCTGGTACTGTGAGAACTTCACTGTGTACAGCCCCGCTGTGAAACTTACTGCTGCCTCATCTGCAAAGCACCGTGGTGCAGCCAGGGTTCAGAATATCTTTCTAAGAATCATTTGAACTTGTGATGAGCAGGCCCTCAAATGTAGTGTATCTGTGATGATGAGATGTTGCTGCTCTGATGGTTTCTTACTTTTGAGCAAGGCAGGACTCATTGTTCTGATAAATTCTGAAGCTGCACAGTCAACATCCTTACCTCTCGAGCAACCTCTAGTGAATACCTGGAATTTGTCTTTCTGGTGCATTGGCCCTTTTCCCAGGAGGGCATTTGTCCTTCAGAACAATTTGTCTTGTCTGCAGTTCACTTGGGTGCTTTTCTGAGGAGCTCAAGGGAAAGGAGCAGGATTTATGAAATGTTCCAAGGCAGCCTGTATCAGGGAGTTGCTTATTGCTCTCTGATGTGGGGATTCCTCAGATAGGAGCAGGGATTTGCCTACATACATCTACTACTTAGTTCAAGCATGGTGAGCAGTTCTTCTGAGTTTTGTATTTACTGTGTATGGTGGATCAACCGTACTGCACATGAATGGCAAATCTGACTCTTAAAGGAAATATTGCACCTGTGTGCCATAAAAAAAAAAAAAAAAAAGATGATAGCTTTTCCTTGTGCAAGTAAAGACTTTGTGCTCCGATGGCCTGCTCTGATTCTGGCTTCTAAGTGCTAATCTATAAATTATCTAGGCTGTAGTCATTTGTTTCACTTTATAATTTAAGGACTGAGGAGTTATTAGACCAGAAAGAGAGAGCAGGATTCTTTTCTGCATTTTTATCCTGAAACAGCCCCAATCCCAAGACATTATCACTATGGTTTCATCTGTAAAATAGACTATATGCTTTCAGCTGATTTACAAATGCTTTTCATAATACCTTGGATAAAACCTGCTTTGTTCTGCAGATCAATCTTACAGAAAAGAACATTAATAGTTTATTATTTTTTACCAGAATACAAGCTAATTATAGCTGTATCTATATTAAATCTATAAATCTGTCTCTTCCATTGCGTGACTTTTTTTTTTTTCTTTTTAAGGCAGCTGAGAATGGAGCAACGGGTGTTGAGTTGGATCTTGAATTTACTGCAGATGGTGTTCCCATTCTAATGCATGACGAAACAGTAGAAAGGACAACTGATGGGTCTGGAAGATTGTGTGACTTGACTTTTGATGAAGTTAGGAGGCTTAATGCATCAGCAAAACATAGGCTATGGTAAATCAACTATTGCTGTTCTGAAACCACTGTTTCAACAGTGGAAAAAAAACCATTCTTGATTAAAAAAAATTGATCTATCACTGATGAAAACTTCTGTAAATTTAAAACCTAATTCCACATGTTACTTCTCATTTGATTTTTAGAAGCATATGAGATTGTATCTCCCTACCCATCCTTGCAATAGGAACAGTGAAGCAGAGTCAAGATAATGGCTTTCAAGGACAAAATCCACAGGCATCTAATGTCAAACAGGTTAATCTCTACATAAGTTTCCCCTAAATTGACTGCAGGACCCCAAAGATACTGGAAGTTTCACAGTATATCAAAACTGACTTGAGTAATTACTTCTAAAATTAATTTTGTTCACATATATTTCTTGACTGATTGTCTCTTGGGGATTCTAAACATCAGGATTATACTGTTGAAAAGGGACTACACAGATGTCCTGGGTAGTCTCAGGTAGGAGCTGTGACCCCAGTAGCTGATTAGGTCCTTTCCAGTGGCATGCAGGGGAACATATGTTCATACATTACTGAAATGCTGATGACACTGCAACTTCTAGAGTATCGTAGGTGAATCCATTTTAGGAGAAGAACTTTTAGTGTGTGTTCCTTGTATTTCTGAGACACTGCATTAGGGACTTCCAGACTCCTGTAAATGTACCACCTGTAAGTCTGTGGTACAAGTAACATCTTCCCTGGTTGCTACAGGAAAGGTGATCACCTGAGCCACTCAGAGAGAAATTCCACATAGGCAGTTACTGCTGAGCAGCTGTTGTTCAGAATAATTTATTGATGTGTGAAGCTGCTTCCCCTACATCCTTTTCTTATTCTGCCAGGATCTGCATTTCTGGCTCAGGAGTGGGTGGATGGGTACTCAGCAGCTGGGACTGAATGCTTATTTGTGGTAGTTGCGAAGGAGGTGAGGAACTGAGGTTAGTGTTTTGGTGTGGATGCAGGGTCAGTGAACATCAGATTAGACCTTGAATTTGGAAGGATGTATAATAATTGTCTAGTGGTATCTTGGAGGCAATGGAGATACACATAACCCTATGCACATCCTCTACATGTGCAGCTGTTTGCTGGGGAAGAGAGCCACTTCTGCCATTGCTAGTGGTGCTTGATCCCACCTCTAATACTAGTGTACCAGCAAACTATGTTCAAGAATTCCTAGGAAACAGCTCTGTGTAGTGGGGGATATGTGTGTGCACATGTGTGTCTTGACTGCATTCCAGTTACCTGTTTCTGCAGGAACAAATTCCAGGGTGAAAAGGTACCAACTCTGAGAGAAGCTGTTGTGGAGTCTATGCATCACAATCTTATCATCTACTTCGATGTCAAAGGCCATGCAAATCAGGTACCACTTACTGTACTAAGACACATTCCTTCACCCTTTGGGTTTCTAACCTGCTTTTATGTTGGTCTCAAACAGATATGTGTGGTATAGGCCCTTCTCTAATACGGGCAAGACTGGGTCTGCTATTTGTGTCATCCAAAGTTGGGCTGTCAAAGCAAAGACAATCTGCTCCCTTGTCCCATTCCACTGTCCTGGAAAGCTGCAACTTAAAATTAATGTGAGACTTGCGTGAGTGTTGAGTCTAGTTCACAACACATCACACACTCACAATCATGAAACAAAGCAAAGTGAATTCCCTGCCTGTGCTGAGGAGAGATAGCATCTCATCTTCAGCCTCCAACTAAGGATCCTGCTTGTTTATAATTTGCATTACTGAAGGGAGATGCAAGTGATCAATCATTAACATTTCATCCAAATTAAAATATTTTTTCTTTAGCATAACAAAATGTGGAAATACATTCATTCTCCCCCTTGAACTAAACCCTAGACATTACTTCAGAATTTTATCCACTGTATATTTAAGGGTATTTCAAAACACTGAGAATGCTACTCATTGCTGTAAACAGAATCACGAAAAGGACTTGTTGTAAAAAACCAAAATGTTATTTCTGTGTTAATGGTATACACAAGATGCTGGATTTCTTCTTCCCCCTTTCCATCTCAGTCTTGTTACACAAAACAGGAAAGTATTTTTAAAGCGGATTATTCTAAAATGACTTTGTAGTGTAAAGTCAATATGAGCGTATGTACAAAGATAACGTGTGTGTATCTCTAATTGGCAGGCAGTTGGCGCCCTAAAACAGCTCTACCTGGAATTTCCACGTTTGTATAACAACAGCATTGTCTGTTCTTTCATGCCAGATGTTGTTTATAAGGTGACGTTTCCTAAAAGCTTGCTTTGTTGTTTTTTTTTTCTGTCTAGGAATTTCAATACGATATACAACTTCCAGTTCCAGATTACTTTTGGGCTGTTAAAATTGCTAAACAAAAAAAAAAAGCATAAATTGTAAGTCTCCTGCATAATCGTATTAGATCACTGTGCTCATTAGATGCACACTTGAATCTACAGCATTTCCCTTCATTCTGAAAGCTATGTGGAAAACAGTGCATTGCTCTTACAGCTGGCATATGGCCAGGTATCTGTGTGTAAGGTACCTTTTAAATCCCATACTTTAATGTAAATGTGGGCTAATATTAAAACTGTTTACTAATTCTCTTTGCCAAGTCCATTTACTATGTATTTCGTTCTATTGCCTGACTGTTATGCAATTTTTTTAACATAAGAGCAGTTGCTTATGCAGCATATTTTAAAGAAAAATCAGCAAAATATCATAAACCACTTCTAAAAGAGTTATAAAAAGATCTAGGGGGGGAGGGGGAGAAGGAATCTGGTAGAGCTGCAAATGCAATCTAGCACTTCATATCTAACCTCTCCCGATTTATATTTAACTCAGCTTGGCTTTTGTATCAATTGCAGTCTTTTCTCCTTGATCCTCCAGATGAGACAAGCTGACAGAAATGTGGTAACAGCACTAACACACAGGCCTTGGCATCTGAGCCATTTTGGAGATGGGACACCCCGTTTCAATTCCTCCTGGAAACATTATTTGTATATGATGATGGATGTCATTCTAGATTGGAGCCTACACAGTTTCTTGTGGCGATTGTGTGGGGTTTCAGCATTCCTCATACAGAAAAATTTTGTTTCTCAGTAAGTGTTAAAGCTTGTTAATATATCAGGAGGCAGTATCATTCTATTAGTATATAAGGGTGGAGTTAACAATAGTATATGTTAATTTGTTCCATTTAACGTTGTTTAAGGTTGTTTAGTTTCCTATTTTAAGCCTCTCTTTTCGATCTGTATTTTTATCTTATGTTAGATCCTTAATTTAATCTCAAAGGGGAAGAAAACTTGCTTTTGCCTGTTCACAGTAATAAAACACAAAAAGATGACAGTGCAAAAGATGATGCACTATTGTTCTTGATGTGATACTGATGTAAGACTAAAACCACTTACTGATGTAAGACTAAAACCTCAGCACTATCTGCCTTAAATATGGTACTGTCAGCTTCCTCTAATGGTGTCTTTGTTCCCCACAGAGAGTATGTGAGGCAGTGGTCTTCAAAAGGAATTCAGGTGGTTGCCTGGACAGTGAACACATTTGCAGAAAAAAGCTACTACGAAAGCGTCCTTGTATCCAGCTACATCACAGACAGCTTGGTGGAAGACTGTGATCCTCATTACTAGACCTGTGCCTGGTAGACATCAACCTCAGTAAGCTGTCTCACTCGGGCAGGTCTGAATTCACAATGAGCAGGTATCCACTGGTCCAGACAGCACCTCTAATGATAGTTCTGGGAAAAGAGCAGTACTGTACTTCTGCTGTATGGTCAGATCTCAAATGCAGAAAAGCCCTGTCTTACAACACTTGGCAAAGCTGAGGTACAGCCATTTGCAGTCTGAGGGGATCATACTGTAACATAAAAGGATCAGGTTTGACAAGCTAATGGGGCAGCTCCCTGTTGTGTAGGTTGCCTTAATTCTCCCACTGTTCCTTTGCTTCGTTTAAATTTTGGTTATAAAGTCATATCAACAAATTTTTAGTATCAAAATTTAAAGTTGTACTGTACCTTGACTTTAGTAATTTAGTTTGTTCTATGACTGTATAATAATCTGAGATTGATTTATGGCATCTTAAAAACATCTACATTACTGTTCTCAAAACAGAACCTGAAAATAACGGTGCCAAAATAGCAGGTGAGTATATTTCCCTCCTACTACATGGAAAGATGCCTGTGCTGCATCTTGACAAGGAAAAGAAAGCCAGCTTTTCCATGTTCAATGTGAAGACTATGATAATTAATGAATAAAACTTGAGTATCTTGCCTTCCAGACTTTTTTAAAAAAACAAGGGAGGATAGATTATTTCTTCTAATGATACAGCACATGAATGTATTTATTTTTAAAAGAAAGCTATATATTGAGTGCTGGTAGAGGTAGAACAAACAGAGCTGAAATGTCTTTTTACTTTGCCTATTGTTTGCATGACTGAAGGGCACTCACAAGGGTATGTGGGAAACTGTAATCCAGATTTAACTTGAAATCAAGTCTGCAGTTTAATAAACAATATCTGTCAGCTCATGGCTAGGGTATTCTTTATCAGCTGCGCACAAGTAGATTGATGTGGAATGTCAAAAAGAGTGCAGGTTGCTTGCTATTTTTTTTCTGATGGGTAAAACACCCAGGTGTTCTCATCACAGCTACCATCAATGGGCCATGAACCATTTTGGCTCTGCTCTGGAAGGAGTGGGCAGTAGACACAACGGTCAAGGATTAGAAAGAGCAGAAAACTCATGTGGAGCCAGCCCTAACACCAATTAGACTACCTTTTCTTAATGGCCAATACATGGAACTACTAAATTTAATAATTTCATTTCAGAAGAATGTGATACTAATTCCAACAGAAATGAGGAATTTGAACATTTAGCTGATTGGTTACTGGCTGCAGGTTATTCAGGCATCATCTCACCAGGTATCTTAGACCGTGCACTGTAGCGATTGGTATGTCTGACCAGGAAGTGTCACCATGTTTTGCTAAGGTAGTGCCTTGTGCTGCCTCAGTGGTGTTGGATTCATTGTTTCCTTGTTTGGGTGTTGCTGTGTTTCAGGAGCATGCTGCACCCTACCCTGGTGCTCCCTTCAGGGGTGCTAGGGGAAACGGATTAGCACGCTGCATGGACGGGTGCTGTCTGGTGTGGTGCTGTGGATGTAACTGCTCTTGATAGTATGCCTCACAGTTAGAATTGGTTCTCATTCACAGAGCCAACCAAGATTTTAAAGAAACTTCTATAAAAGATGCAAAAGGTAGTAATAAAAAAAAAAAAAATCTGTCATTAGTGGAAAGAACTACACAATTATTCCAATTAAGGCAAGTCCAAGCTTCTGAATTAGCAGCAGATTAATGCTACCTTCTGTAAGGGGTGATGGACTTTTTTTGCTTGTATCGTGAGCTATATATAAGCACAAAGAAACACAGGAGTAAGAAGGGGGGTTTTCCTGACATGATGCTGAGAGCCTCCTCACTTCACTCATCCACCCTGCACTACCAAACCAACAATCTCAGTCTTCTGCTGCACATCCTCTATCGTGTGTACATTGCACCCTCAATCAGTTTCTGTCCAGCCCCTTCGAGTCCCATAGCCTCTTCCTTTACTGCTGTGTTTGACAGGCACTCCCCAAGCAGCCAGTAGAACAGCAATTCCTGGCAAACGACCCCTGCTCCAAAGCTCCATCTTCTGTTGCTGCTTGAGATCCTGGCACCAAGTCACAACCCTCTGTACCAACACTAGGCCCATATTCAATATTCACAGCCAGACTCCACAGCTATACAGGCACAAAGACAACAAAATTGTATCTCTAGTCTTGTGTGTGAAGTTTGTCCTTTTTTCTGTACCTCTGGTGGTTATTTTGGAGTTGTCTTTAACCTAAATTTTTATGTCCAAAGCAATGATGGAGGAATAAACCTGACAGTAGCTAAAAAAAACCAAAAAATCATCATGGTAAAGTTGTGGCTCTGAATAATAAGAAGCTGCAATAAAAAAACCCAACCTCTTAATTCTGTTACTTCCAATCTATCCTTTACTAGAAAAGATATGTGTTCTTGTTCACAAGCAGTGGTTTTACACAGATGAGAATTTTGATAAAGAGTTCCGATAAGTTTTAACATCATGGGTGCTTTTGCATGACTATAAAACTACAAATGGCTCAGAAAAGTGAAAATGGAACAGAAGCTTAACCTGGTTCACACAAGTTACTTTGCAGCCAGTACAATGTCTCAGTTATTAAAAACAACTGCACTTCAATTTCCTTCTATTGTTATTTGACAAATACCTCACTTTTCGTTTAGATCAGATAAAAGCAGTTTGAACAATATGACTGATACAAAAATATTTTTAGAGCAAAGCTTTTGTTTACAATTAGGCACAAATTTCCTTATGTTTAGTTGATGATAAGTAACCAGCTGTGGAGGGACCCTTACTGCATGGAGGTGAAGGCCAGTCCTGGAGGAATGCTGACCCTCACCAGAATGTTGCTACTTCAAAAACAAACCAAACACGCAGGATATTCCCCATCACAGCAATAAACTGCAGTAGGGATGCATTTTACAATCTGTTCTGTTTTTACTTCCATTTAGGGGTAAAAACCCATCATTAGTGCAAATGAGTATTGCTTTTTGCAGAACACCAGCCAACAACTTAACATTGATTATTGTTTCTGCCTGTTCACGGTCAAAAGTCTTTGTCATCATCTTCGTCTTCCCACTGAGCTGCTTCTCTAGCGCGCAGAGCGAGCGCCACCGCCTCGGACACGCCTGGCCAGCGGGGCTGGGCTGGCTCGGGATCTGTTTTCACAAAGGAAGTGATGTTAGCTGTGCTGGTGTCGGTATAACCACCACCCCCATGCTGTTTAAGTGTCCCATCTGTCAACTCTTTGGAATGAAGTTGTGTAAACCAGGAATAGTTCAAGCTACCAGGCAAGTTTCCATAGCTCTTTTTATTCCAGACATACGCTGTCCTAGAGACTCTACATTGTTAATAACCCCTTCTGAGACTCACACCAAGATGTGAAGTGTATCTCTAAGGTGATGTAATACGGGAGCAGCCACAGGCAAGAATAAGACAAAATGGCTCATTTACCCAAAGAAATTCAACACTCTGGTATATAGAAGCTTGTGATCAGTCTTCAGAAGTCACCAAAAACATCACAACAAGCTACTAATAAGCACATCCTATAGTCAATGTTTACATCAGAAACAGTCTTTTTTTTTTCTCTTTATACAAGGTGGTAAAATTCTGTGTCTCTTCCATCAAGCTGTTACATGCTGTGTCTGTACTACATCAAACATTTTTACTGAGCCGAGCCTCTAAGAGCTGTGTTCTGTGTTTAGCATTTGTTGCTTACCTAGTGGGAAGCCAGACCCCCTCAAGATCCCAGCAGCATCAGGATACTGAAAACAAAATTCACAAGCAGATTTAGGTTGTTGTTTCCCTCGTGCCTGTTATTTTGCATTTTAAATTATACCAGTTCCCAGGAACAAAACCATACTCTCCAGATCTTAAGCAGGTCTGTATGAGTATTCCAACAGCTATTCTGATTACATTTTTGTATCTGCTCAAGTTAATCTTTAAAATTATTTCTATACAGACAGGGTGACCTCTTTGCTCAACATATGCCCATTGTCCATTTCATGCCCCAGGTTCTATATATGGAAATCTAGCGGAGACTTCCTTCTTTTGACCATCTCACCTCGTTGTAGGATGCGTTTTGATTTCTGTCAAATGCCCCTCCTGGGTAGCCTGGCACTTGCTGAGCAGGTTGTCTGGACAGGTGGGATGAAGAAGAGCTTCTCTGAAAGGCAGAATATTTGGCATTAGCAGTACTACATTCTGGCTTCCAATCAGGACTTTATGGTCAGTGCTACTCCTACCCTTGTTTTAGGGAGATGGCTCTTCTACTAGATCCACAATGAGATTATTCTGGCATCTCCTTTTGAAGTCTGACCTTAACAACTACAAGAATATCCACATTCCCTCAGGAGTCCCACTCATGACCCTGAATATGGCCACAGGGTTGTCTAGTGTTTGAAAATCCCCAGCACACAGAAAATGCCCATTCACTTCAAGTTCCCCTCTCTACAGTCAATATTTATTTATTTATATTATTGCATTAATGATGGCCAGTCATACAGGGGATTTGTTTGGGGTTTTCTTGAGGGAGGGAGGGGAACCTGACAAACTTTTTATTCACCAGTATGCAGGTCAAAGAGTAGTTGCTCAGCCAAATAAAAACCCTGCACAGCACTGTATATGCACATTTTAACACTAATTTGATAGCTCAGCAGGCTGGACTGACTTGAAAAATAAACTAAAGTTTAAGAACATTAGATGTCTATCTCGAAGTTGTATGGAATTAGGTCAAAGCACTCAGTTTTACCTCAGGTGAAAAGACTGGGCTGGGTGGGGAGGGCACAAACCATAGAACCCTAAGGAAATCCAGGGTCAGGGGAGGAAAGCAGCCTCCTTTAAGTCTAGGCAAGGCTCTACTGTGGCCAAACCCTTTAGTGACCATCACTGCACTCCTAGATGAGGAATGTTTTCCTGCAGTTTCATAATCATAACATCCAGTGAGGTAAGGACTTTTCTATACCCTTCCTAGGCTAAATTCCAGCCTGGAGCAAACAGAGAATTTCCACAGTATCCTTTTCCCATCTGGAATTAACCAGTAATCAATTTATGTGAAGTTTTAAATACAGACCTATCCCAAAACGGCAGCCTATTTGCAAGGCTAGAGGAACCCCATGAAATCATACCAAGCATTTAATTGAAACAGCAGTACCTGAACTATCAGACTGACCTGCTGGCCTTGTCCTCTTGGTGCAGATGGGTTTTGGTTTCTTCTTTGCAGTACCCATAGTTTTTCAAGTAAAAATCTTTTTTCTTTTACTCCCTATGGTCAAGACACATTTGATCATTAGCTGGAATGGACTAATCATTCTTGAGAGTCTCAAGGCCTACGAGTAACCATTGACCAGGATAATCATTAAAATTTCTTTTATTCTGAAATAATCTGTCTACATAGGGAGCTGCAGCAGCACAGCTTGAAGGTAAAACTGTTTTGCAACAACTCTTATTTGTGAGTTAAGTTTCCCTGCAATAGACATGGTGGAGGGCTCCCACCCTCCCTTGAACTGTCATAGGAGAAGCAGATTACGGCTCCACAACAGCAAGATGAGACAATCAACAGAAAGCCACATTTTAAAAAAGATAAAGCTGAAAGTCAAACTTACATTGATAATTTGCTTCTTTAAGAATTTGGTTACAGTCTTTCTTCCTTCTGTTATTTGCCAGTAAAGATAAGTAATAATTCTAAACAAAAAAAAAGTCCAACATATAAGCACTCATACTCATGAGTATTTCCTCCTAGTCATTGCCTAAACAAAAAGTTATCTTGTTTATTTTACCCATGAAAAGATACATATATACACATATCTGTACATGCATATTTATACATATACAGACATATGCATACAGACAATACATGTATTTTAAAAATGTATGTATAGAAATACACATGGAATGACAAGCACATGAAATTGCTTAAGACATTCTCTTGGAAAGGACCCAAAGATTTATGGGCTTGTATTCAAGATAAGAGGTACAATTAAAGTCACTCAGCAATACAAGGTGTGTTTCAGATAACAAATAGGAACCTAATGCTCTTATCCAACTTTGTGTCATTTGCTTAGACACATGCCTGGACCTTAAATCACAATACCGAACACTTAGTACTTCCAGGCCAATCCTGGTTCCACTCCAATCAGTGGGAACTTGTTTTATAAGAACAGGTTTGGGCTCTTAACTGTGTGCATGGCCCACGTTAGAAATATCAAGCAGTACAGCCACAACATCAAACCCTGCCAGTGGGCACAGAGTTTAATACACATGGTTTTGCCAAAATAATTTACTTCAGCTGAGAGGACAGTATGTGAATTTATCTGAGATGAGCTGAAAGCAGACTGCAACCTACTTATCAGAATTCCCCATATGGTGGGGAACTTTAACATGCACTTTAACATGCTACTTGTGCACCACCATGCCCTTCCACCACAGTGTCTCTCTATTCTTAACGGGATATATTCTCATCTAATGACTCCACTGATCAGAGACTGTCAGAAAAGACAAAGCAACCATCTCCCAAACTTATGCTTTTTATGTTGCTCAGGGTCCTAGTGTAGATCTGGCCAGTATTGCCAGTGCTTGTGAAAGCTTGCTCTTTCTCTACTGATTTATTCACCTCTGGGGGAAGAGAAAAAA